AAATCAAATACTGGTAATTGTATTTTAATGTGACATTAAAATGATTTTTTAAAACCTGAGATAAATAAATATTTTCAATTAAAATATGTTTAAATGTATTACAGAATTACTGAAAAATGTATTTAAAATAAAAACTTTATTTTATTTCCAAATTTTTTAATATAAGATAAGATAATATCTAAAGTACTGTACAAAACAAATGAAATGCATTTTAAATGTACTTTGTCTTCAATTGGTACTAATTGTAAATCAATAATTGATAGAAAATGTATTGCAATAAAGATATTTATAAGAAATGCTAACTACATAAATATAAATACAAATGTAATTATTGAGATAATATAAAAATCAATGTTGAAATCAAACTAAATACATTTGTGCTAATATTTAATTATATTATCGTGTGACTTATACTGATTTATATTATAAATATATTTAGTGCACATAATGTAATATAAATATGTCAACCATATTAACTTTACATATAAATTGTATTTTAACTGTACTTTGATTTCAATCGATACTAATTATAAATCAATGATTGATAGAAAATGAATTGAAATACCGTATTAGAAATACTTTACATAGGATTTTTTCTTACTATTACATTCCTATTCTACTTTTTTATGCTCTACACGATAGGCATAATTAAATTTTGGAAGCCAAAATTTCGGTCGATGCCCAGGTCAATTGTATAGATTACTCTGAATTACTGTGAATAATTATCAATGAAAAATTATTATGGGGGGAAATTAATAAATAAATAATCATAATTCATTTTTAATTAATATAGCATTTATATATCGCCTTTAACGTATCAATATCCAACGGGTTTTAAAATTTAAACATCTATAATGAAATTAATTATATTTATATTAAATGTTAACTATGTCATAATAACCCAGTTTATAAACCGTTATAAACAAAATATTAATATTTTATAAATTTTATATATGATATAATATAGATTTATTTTAAATTTTGTATTCATTTTTCTTTATGTTTTACAAATTAAAGTTATTACTTATAAATCTATAGATTTAAATTAATTTTCACCATCTGGTATGCATATTCATTAAATTAAGTTTATGATTACACATTATAATGTAATGAAAGTCACCTCTAATTAAATTCATATAATTTTTTACATTTAGTTTAATTGAATTTGAGGCAAACAGAGTGAGTCTTCTTGTAATGTATTTTATTATAACCTATTCACAAATATAATGTATAAGGGTAATACCCAATACTCAACATAACCAATACTAATTTTTGCCTTGCTCAAATGCATAGCGAGTTGACTCACTCTGTTTGCCTCAAATACAATTGTAATCGAGCTTAAAAAAATAACAAATGTATAAATATAAGCGAATATTTTAATAAATTTAATTTCTTATAGCGTAGACACTATAATAATGACGGTAAAAATTACATTAATTGTAATCTGCCTATTAATTGGTTCTACAACTTGTTCCAACTACTATGCGCGATCGGAAGTGGTATGTAATGATTTACTGTTTTTACCAAAGTGATATCAATAAATTGACTTTGCTATGTTAATGCCAGATATATTTACGATTAGTTATTAACAACAATTTATAAAAACTAAAAATATTATAACTTTTTTAGTTCGCGTTCCCGATTATAACAACTATTAGTCTCTTTTACCCCTCGCTCTCTCCCTTCCCCTCTCCCACCCTCTTGCACTAAAAATTACATGACATTAACTTGGTGAAATAATTTTTAGATCCCATTGGGTGAGTTGTAAGTAGCTAAAAATGGGGAAAAAATTATGTTAATTATATATAAAGTGTACTTTATATGTGTCTAATTCACAGTGTACATATAACGCACAAATTAAACCCTGCTCATGTCGACCTTGGTACAATTATACAATTAAATGGACCTGTTCAAATATTGCATCCCTTGGATTGGAGACATTTAGCAAATTTAGCAAAACTGCACATGGTAATCAAAAGAATATCGACGAAATTACATTAAGCGATACTATCATCGAGGTGATCCCGGCAAATATATTTAACGATCTAAGAGTTACATCAATAACAATAACAAATAACAAGTTGCTAAAGAAACTTGATAATCAAGCTTTTATCAATCAAGAGTGTCGTCATTTTATAATTAAGAATTCTCCGCTATTAATTCACACAACTGGCAACTCTATCGACGGCACCGATATATTTGCTATAATTAATAAATTTAAATCACTTGAATATTTGGAATTAGTTGATATTAATCTTCATGCTATACCGGCCAACGCGTTTAAAGAGCTAGATCATCTTAAGACCATTATAATTAAAGATGAAACAATTAAATCAATAGGAGAAAGGGCGTTTTACTTGCTGAAATCACTAACTAATCTTTTGTTGTATAAAATCGATGTTGATAAGCTAGATGAGAATGTATTCACATTTACATCAAGGTCGCAAATATGGTTAGATTTAGATAGAAAGAGCCCATATTTAGCTAATATGAATATTGCTAAAAATGCCCTTGGCAATACTGGTTCAAATGTTCATATCTTTATATACTTTAGGGCTGGCTATGACAAAACATTAACCACAATTGACGAGGGTATATTCAGGCCATTTTTGACATCACCCGGAGAGCATAGTTTAAATATCTATGGCACAACTTTTGATTGTAACAATACTGGAAATGCGTGGCTTAAGTCTGAGCCAACTTTAATGGAGAAGGTTAAGCTCCCTCACCATGATCACCTTGGTCAATTTCATAACACGTTTGAGTGCGGTCGTGTCAATCCGATTTCTGAAAGAGATGTGAAAGTTATACCTCGCAATTGACCGGAATTAGTACGTGACTCACCTAACGCACGATTTATATCTTGTGTTAATGATATTCCTTACTAAATTTAGCATGCCTTATATCTGATCTAATTTTAACAAACAGATTACATTTTAACCCATAGCAATACAAATTTAATTGTTAAGTGCCTAAATCTGTCCATTGCCCCTAAAATTGTCATTAATAACTAATTTTGAACATTATGTTTTATATTTATTTCACAAATAATTAATTACAATATTTATGTAATTTGTACTTTTATTTAATTTTAACAGCTATTAGGTTTGTAATTGTAAGTTTTTTGTTTGCGACATGCTTGTTTAATTTTATAGTGGACAGGTTAATAATTTTAAAACATTTAATAAAATACCTACTTACACATTTAAAATAATAATGAAAAATTATTTTGGGTAGAAATTAATAAATGAATAACAAATAGTCATGATTTTATTCTAATTAAGCTAACATTTATACATTGCTTTTAACGTATCAATATCCAACGGGCTCATTACTTTGGTATATGTAATATCATGTGCAGGTACCTGTTTGGATATTAGGGTAAATTTCTTATTTTTGCTTATTTAAGTCTTTTTATTGAGCATGATGGAACCAAAATCCAACTTGGTGTACACTTGGTACATTGATTGGTTATATTTTTAAAAATTTTGTTCGTTGCCAGGTTTGAGATTGGCCCATTGTACCTCCACAAAGTTTTTATTTATTGGGTTATTTTTTTGTTGTGATGGTGGAGGGGGCAGAGCGATCCTATAAACTACATTATCCATATCTGAATTGTGGTTAAAAATAATTGTAAACCTCACTATTATTGTTAAATTATTTTTAACCACAATTAAGCTACGAATAATGTGGTTAATAGGATTGCTCATGTCTATACTCATTCAGAATAACAACACATATAGTTAAGGGTTAATAAATGTTTTTTTCTATTAAATTTAGTGTTTAATTTTTACTTTAACTAAAATTAAATAATTATTTTCATTTTTAAAATTTATTAATTATAATGAAAATATTTATTTATAATTTATAAAAACATAAATAAATGTGTAATAAATATTAATTGACTGCTTCAATTACATTGCAAGATAGTTGTCATATTTTGAGGGCAATTAACTGGTTGTGACTTATAATCCATATGACAATCAATATCACAATAATATTGACCATCATATATCTTTGTCAATAGATTAATACCAAAATAGAGCCATACATTGCGCACATCATAACAATTCAACTTCACGTGCTTTAGAAACAATTCATTATGCTCGTTTGTAGCAAAAAATGGTTTGAAAACAATCATGTCCAAGTATGACCATGTTGCAGTTTCCCAGTTGCACAAAATTCGCAGGGTAACATTCGCTTCAGTATTACCAAGGGCATTTTCTTCAAACATTTTCGTTGTAATAAATGGATTATAATCTAGATCTACTAGTATTTGATTTGCCCTTGATGAAAATGTCAGTACATCAGCCGGCAATATATCGATGTCGGTGCGAGATATTTGAAGGTAGCTTAATGATTTTAGTGAATAGAATGCCCTTGCGCCAATTGTTTTCATTATATTGCCAGAAATCTTTAAGGATTGTAAATAATCTAGATCTTTAAACGCATACGATGGCAGTGCTTTTAAATTAATATCTACCAAATGTATCGCTTCTATAGTAGTAAATGAATTAATTATTGCAAATAAGTCAGTCCCAGCATCGGTAGAGTTGCCAGCGGTGTCGGTAGTGTTGCCAACTTTGTTTTTAAAATGTGGCGAATACCTAAACTTAAATTCGCGCGGATATTGGCCTATGAATGCTCGTTCATGAATGCGCTTTAGGAATCCATTGAACGCCATGTCAATTATGGTAAATTTAATGTCCGCAAATGTTGCCTCTGGTAATTCTTTAACCTTCGTGTAAAATAATTGTATTTGATAAATACTCTTATTTTGACCAGGCACATATTGACTGAAGTTGCTGAATAATTCCGGTCCAAAGTTATTGATTTCTCCCCCGAAACATTGCCACGTGGTATTGTAATTTAATTCCGAACACGAGCATGGTGAATATTGTAATTTGTATTTGCAACTTTGTTTTGGGATGAATATATCATCAGTATTTTCAACGCCAACTATATATACGATTAGAAATGAACATATATTTCTTAATAAATTAGACATGGTGATCTTCGGTTCTATGAGACAAATAAAATGTATGTTAATAATTATTTATTAAATTTAAATATAGTTCACCATTTAACTATATTAATTATAATAGAGATTGTAACTATTTAAGAACAAATAAAATGTAGTTACCTTTATATACTTATAATGTCAATGGTCTTAAGAATAATTACCGTAATTGTTTATTTATGCAGACTGTTATTAATGCAATAAATAAACAACTTTATTTAATTAATTCGTGTGTTGGGTTTTGTTATATTACAGTATATTAAAGGACTTATTTATACACAATTTTCTTTGTAATATGAAGGTGAATGATCATGTTGGCTAACAATTTTATGTAAACCTTGACGTAAAATATACTCAAAAATGTAGTCTTATGTGACTTTGATCATCATCAAAGTTGTACTACAGCCTGTGATTTATGTTTTAAACAAGTTAAAATATACGCAATATATTAACTAAAAAATGAATTAAATATTATTCTACCAAGTCCAAAAATTAACCCATGGTTAGGGTAAAAATGTATTGCCCCTAAGCAAGGGTTAAAAAATACCGGTGTCCATTTTTATATGCTCCATTTATTGCATTAATGAATAATTACAATATTTATGTAATTTGTATTTTTATTTAATTATAACAGCTATTATTTATGTAATTGCTTGTAATTTTTCCGTTTATGCTATGCTTGTTTAACTGTTTCGTGGACAGGTTAATAATTTTTAAAATATATAATAAAATACCTTTTTAAAATTTTTAATTGTCAATAAATATTTATTTTAGGTAGAAATTATCAAATAAATAACATATAATCATGTATTTTTTTTAATTGATTTAGCATTTATACATTGCTTTTAACGTAACAATATCCAACGGACTCATTACTTTGGTATATGTAATATCGTGTGTAGGTGCTTGCTTAGATATTAGGGTAAATTCCTTATTATTGCTCATTGATGTTTTCTTATAGAGCATGATGGAACCATAATCAAACTTGGTGTACACTTGGTACATTGATTGGTTATATTTTTGAAAATTTTGTTCGTTGCCAGGTTTGAGATTGGCCCACTGCACTTCCACATAATCATCTCGGTCGGGCCGCGAATGTTCATGGTGAAAACCTACTGCGTGTAATAGCTCGTGCGTTGATTTGCGTTTGTCGTTGATACACCCAGGTGCCAGGTCTACATATTGTTTACCACCTTTTCGACCAACTTTTGATTTACATCTAAATTTATCATTAATATTAATATATAATACATATACTGTACAGTTAATATTGTTAACATTAATATACGTTGTTATCCTATCTAGGTAACAATACGGTGTTGATAATTTGGCAGACAAATAGTTTTAGCATAATATATGTAATTGCATATGATTGATTTAAGTGTTTGAATCCATTTATAAATAGATTAAGGTTAATTATATTTTATAATTAATGGGTTGAGTCTATAATGTTATCTATTAAGTGTACCATTTCAAGAAAACATGATGACTAAAATAATATGGCTATTCAATTAAACATGGTAATATTAAAATGCATACCTAGTGCCCGGTTGAATATGAACATAATCTGCTTCATTTGATCTAGGTTTAAATTGAACGCAATTATTGTTTTTGGTAATGTCCGACATTGCATCAAGTATTTTAGCTTTGTCCTTAGCTGTAAAATTAATTAGAAATTATTTACTAAGTTAATATAATTTATTTAAATGTTGTTACACTACATAATGTATCGTCGATTACATAATAAATAATCCCATTTGGCCAAAGTCTTTTATTTCCCTCTTTTATACCAAAACCTCTTTTAAATCTCATATTAAATGGACTCCAATTTAAATAGTTAATAATCATTGAAGTAATTATCATGGTCATAATTGCTGAATACTTAGACATGATTGTAATATTAGAGTATTAATAATTTTAAATAGATATTACTGTTTAGTGTAATCACAGTTAAGTACAAATAATATCAAATAAAAACATAATAATTAATATTGATTGTTTTTTAAATTAAATAAAATTCCTGTATAAATCAGATTTATTTATTCAATTGTGCTTTTATTATATAAGGTAATAGAGATTATACCCGTATAACACATTAGACTAATTACTATTTGATATGCAATTTTCCACCACTGGACAAATAATGAATTAAATAATAAAACAATTTAACATGTCTATTTTTTCAAATAGATAAAAATTAAAACAAGGATCACACAGCGATGCTATACGTTAACCACTATTCGGGAAATGCATTAAAGATTTTAAATTTTTCAATACTATTGTTTAATACTTTCACTATTGTTATTTTGAGAATTTTAAATGTTTTTTACAATAATTAGTTTTATTTATTCTGTCAGATTCATTTAGTATAT